AGGCCAGGGTTTAAATGCTAAATAAATGGTTGTGGAATGAATGAATGAATGAATGATGAATGAATGAATTTGGTCAAAGAATGTGAGGGGCTACTATTTCTGGGTGGGGGTGGGGGTAGGCAGAGTTCTCTTTCTCTCCCTTCCTCTTTGAACCTACTCTCTCCTCTTCCTTCCTCTTACCCCAGCTCAGTCAGGTCTCTCTCTCATGTGGTCCTGGTTCCAGACTCCTCCCCACTTCGCTGCTTCCAGGCGCTCCTCTGTTTTCCTATTGATCCTCCTCTCCAGCAGCTTGATTCGCTTCAAGAAAATGCAGGTTCCCTGGCTTGTTCCCAGGCAGGGCACCGTGGTTCACGCCTGTAATCTCAGCACTTTGGGAGGCTCAGGCGGGCGGATCCCTTGAGCTCAGAAGTTCAAGATCATCCTGGGCAACATAAAGAGAGCCCATCTTTACAAAAAATTTTAGAAATAGCCAGGCGTCGTGGTGCACACCTGTAATCCCGCTGCTTTGAAGGCTGAGGTGGGAGAATGGCTTGAGCCCAGGAGCTGGAGGCTGCAGTGAGCTACCATTGTTGTTCCACCGCACTCCAGCTGGGTGACAGAGTGAGAACCCGCCTCAAACAACAATAACAACGACAACAACAACAAACATTAGATGGCCTCCCATTGCCTGCGCTTCCTAGCTTGCCCTTCAAGGGGCTTCTAATCTACCCACTTCTCTGGTTTCCTCTCCTGCAACTCCTACCCATCCACCTTGTCTCCCACCTCACACACTCCGTGTTCCCCCAGCAATTACAACGGTCACTAACTGAGCCCTTTCTACATGTACTTTTACGTGAAATATCTTGTTTAAGACTCACAACAATCTATGGGATCTACGAGGGTGAGGCTATTATCAACCCCACTGTACAGATGAGGAAACCAAGACCCAAGGACATTTTAGGGGCTTTCCAAAGGTCACCCGACAAGCAGATGGCAGAGTTCGGATTCAAAACTCTCTGACCCTCCGGCCAGGGAGCCTAAGTGCTGCACCAGGGCTAACCAGTTGCCAGTCCTGGGTGTGCCATGCTCCTTCAAGCTCCCCTGCCTTTGTTTGTGCTGGGTCCTCATCTGGAGGGCTCTCCCTTCTATTGTCCATCCACCAAAACCTTGTCTTTCAAGCTCTCGCTCATGGGTCACCTCCCCTGTGAAACCTTTCCCAGCTTCGCCAGAAGGAGCTGATGTCTCACTCTTTGACTTTACAATTGAGAACTTTGTGCTGTGATTATCTGGGGACTGTCTTCCCCATCAGTGTGCCCCTGAGTGGGCAGACTGTGCTGTATCTCCCTCTAGTGTCTTGTGCAATGCCTGGCACAGAGCAAGTGCCCTCTAAATGCTTAGCGGCTGAATGACAGTGGCCCCGGGACTCCTTCTCCTTAGCACAGAGTTGGGAAGGACTGCTGGGAGCTGCCAGTGGAAGTGGGGAGTGGGTAGGAAGTTTCAGGGCCTCGCCTTGGGAGAGGCGTCCATCTAGGGGCAGCTGGAGACAATTTTACCACTCACCTTTGGGCCAAGACCATCCCCAGGGGATCCAGCTGGTGGGGAAGTTCTATACTTGCACTACCCCTAGAAGTCCTTGGGAACCAACTATCCCACCCCTAGGGGGGTTTCCCCTCTTGTGATGTCAGGAACTGAACCAAGAAGGGAAGCAATTCTTGGCAGGGTCTCTAGATGCTACAGGAGGAAGTGTGGCCAGAGTCTCCATACTCAGTGCCTGGCTTGCCCTAGCCAGTGCCCTCTGGACCCCAGGAACTAAGGGGTTACATGGCTTTGGTAAGAAGGTAGTTCCGGAGTGGGTGGGGACTTCCTTGGGGTGTGAGGGAAATTGCCCCATCCCCGGAGCTGTGGGGTAAGAACTGTCTGTCCCAGTGCCTCTCAGCAGCCCTGTCACTGTGCTCTGGCTAGGACTTTGGGCAGTTTCTGAGCTTTTCTTGCAAAGCCCCAAGGCCTTTAAGAGGTACTCCTATACCTTTGGCCCCTGTCCCTACCCAACCAACTTTTGCCTCTCCTGCTGCCTCGCTCAGGAACTTACTAAGGCTCCCTGTAGCCTCAGGTCCAAATGCCTCAGGCTACGGCCACTACATCCCAAAGTCTCAGAGACAGGACAGTAGAGAAGCTAGGGGCATGGGCTCTGGGTTAGCCAGACAAGTCCAAAGCCCACCTCACTGTGTGACCTTGGGATATTCACTTCACCTCTTGAACTCCAGTTCCTTCATCCTGAAAATGAAAAGAAATAAAATCGACAACCTCAAAATTAAGGAATTTGCTCAATAGGACAAGTTTATCCAATGGAAGCCATCACAAATCAGTTGTTCTCAGAGTGGTCCCTGGACCATCAGCATCACCTGGGTACTTGCTAGAAATGCAAATTATTGGCTGGGCACGATGGCTCATGCCTGTAATCCCAGCACTTGGGGAGGCCAAGGCGGGTGGATCACCTAAGGTCAGGAGTTCAAGACCAGCCTGGCCAACATGGTGAAACCCAATCTCCACTAAAAATACAAAAATTAGCCAGGCATGGTGGCGCACGCCTGTAATCCCAGCTACTCGGGAGGCTGAGGCACAGAGGTTGCAGTGAGCTGAGATTGCGTCTCTGCACTCCAGCCTGGGTGACAGAGCGAGACTCTGTCCCCACAAAAAAGAAAAAGCAAATTTTCAGGCCCTTCCCCTTCTCTTATGGAGAATCTTTAGGAGTGGGGCTCAGACATCTGTGTTTTAGCAAGCCTTCCAGGAGATTCTGATGCCTGCTGAAGTTTGAGTACTGTCACAGATAAACTTGACAGAAAGCAAATATACTAGGTGAATATACCTGGAACATCAACATCCAAAAGGGATTAATATGTAAAATTTATAAGCTACTCTTACAAATCAATGAGAAAAAGACAGGAAGCCCAGTAAGAAATGAACAAAAGATATGAATAAGGAAGTCACGGAAAGGAGAGCACAAATGGCTGACAAGTACAGGAGGAAGTTATAATTTCAGGATTAACAGAGAAATGCAAATTAAAACAACTTGCCACCTTACACCCAAACTGAAGGCAGATAAAAACAAAATCAGATAATGAAAAACCTGATGAAGATGTGGGGAAACAGCATCCTTCACTCACTATTGGTGAAAGCCATTCTGGAAGAAGTTAATGAAATGTAAAAACCTGCCTGTGATCTAGTAATTCCACTCTTGGGTTTAGAGCCCAAAGAAATGCTCACATAGGCCCATAAGCTTCATGTACAAAAATGTTCATCACAGTGTTGTTTGTGGTGAAGAGGGAGTTGGAAGCAACCTGGGTGTTCATCTCTGGGGAGATGGATAAAGAAAACAGTGGATGCTCAGCTTGAAATATTTTGCAACAGTTGGATGCAACAGCGAGATTTTTCAACAGCAACATAGGTAGGTATTTAAAACATTTTTGGGTGGCTGGGCATGGTGGTTCAACCATTAATCCCAGCACTTTGGGAGGGCGAGGTGGGAGGATCACTTAAGCCCAGGAGTTCGAGGTTGCAGTGAGCTGTCATTGCACCATTGCAGTCCAGCCTGGGTGACAGAGAAAAAACCTGTCTCTAAAAATTTTATTTTTTTAAATTAAAAAAATTACAGAATAAAAGAAGCAATAGAATGAAATTCTTATATATACCATTTATGCAAACACACACACAAAGCACTGTGTAGTTTAGGTCCAGGGACATATATCAGCACATAGGGTTAGATGTTCATGGTAAAGAGGGAAAAGGAGTGTGGGGAACATGTGGATTGGGAGAGGGGAAAACATCAGAAGGGCCCTACATGGACCAGTGATAATGGGATGATCATTTACCACAAACCAAGTATGAATTATGGAACTCTTTGGACCTGGAGTCCTAATAATATTTTTTGAAAATTGCTAACAGTACCTATTTTATGGTGTGTACAATGTGTCTGGCCATGGAAGCCTTTGCAAGGTTTTACAAACACGTTTTGGCTCTCCTGTGTGGGTCTCTGGTCTCCTCTCAGGCCTCATTCCTTTTAGCTTTCCAGCCTTTACTCAGGCTGTGCTGAATGCTGTCCTCATCCTGACTTCTCTACCTCTCCAACTTTGCCTTCATATTTCTTTGGCTACCCCAGACTCCCAGATGGCTGCCTATGGAGTCTTGGCTATTTCTGGTTTGGGACTTGAGCACAGAGCTAGGCTGTAACAAGGCTGCAAGGGGACAAATATTGTTTCTTCCTCCCAAACAGTGAGCTCCCCTGAGGGTCTTCTGAATAGCTCACCCCCACCTCAGTTGCAGTAAGATGCACCCAGGCATCTTTTGCTTATTACCAGGCAAGAAAGGTAAACTGAATCAGAAAATGTTTGATGTGGAAAGGAATATTTATTGGGCACTTATCATGTGCTAGACTCAGCTCTAAGGTCTTAACCCTCAGTAATCCCTATGGCCACCCTGTTAGGTGGATGGGGGCTGAGCTCACTGGACAGATGGGGAAACGGGAGCATACAGAGGTTATGACACTAACCAGACAGAGGCTCCGGGTCGGCCTGGCTCCAAATCCAAGAGTTGAACGAACACCTTGTTTGGGATCTTGAGGCCAGAATGGGACCCAGATGGCCCCCGAGTCAACCCTGGGTGGAGGAAACCCTCTACTCCACACTGACTGTACAAGTCAGGCATCAGGGGGACGGGAGACCCTGACATTTAGAGCCTTAAGAAGACCTTCTACACTATTTAGTATGGTCAGTTTGAGGTCATATAAGGAGAATCAGGAGATTCCCTCAAGCCCTTTCCCCTCTTTTTGAACCATAGTTTTCCGATCTGTAAAATAGGATCCAATTCTGGAAATTCTTTTCTCAGTCTGCCAGCAGGTGGAGCCCACTCTTCATGCCTTCCTCAGCCTCCAGAAAGCTGCGGCGTCCCGGGGAGGAGGTGTTCTGGGGCCGACCCCTCTGGGCTTCTGGGACAAAGCAGGATCGCTGCCCAGCCCCAGCCTGGCAGAGCGGCACGGGAGCCCCGGGTGACTGCCCCGGTCTTTAGGGCCCGGCTTCGCTCACCCGCTGCAGGACACTCTCGGTACTGCAGGGTCCCGGGCCCCAAAGGCAGGGAGCGAGACCCTGGAGTGAAGACGCCCCCGCCCCCGCCAGGTGTGATGAGCGGGCCCTGGGGACAGGGTCTCCCCCGGGGATAGGGTCGCCCAGGCAAAGCTGAGACTCGGAGGTGGGCTGCGGGGCCACACCGTCCGCAGGGGCGGTGGCTACAGGTAGTTGTCTTCGGCAGCGTCACTCCCGCCCCTGGAGCCCCGGGGCTCATCCTCCTCATCGTCGTCGTTATCGTCGTCATCGGGGGCCAGCGCCTCGATGTCGTGTGTGATGTCAGCCAGCAGCCGGTGGAAGGCCTGTGCCTCGGGCCGCTGCGCCGCGCCATCGTAGCTGCGCACCGCAGAGGCCGACGTGGAGCTCATGCTGCGCTTGATGCGGCCGAAGCTGTCAGTGAGGATGCCGCCCTCGCGGATGCCCACGCCCTCCAGGAAGCCCTCGAAGTAGCCGATGTCCTGGTCCGGGATGAAGGGCCGCATCCCTGTGAGCCGAGGGATGTGGTGAGTCCTCAGGGCACGGCCCCTTTCCCTCCCATAGGTGAAGCGTCCTCTCTGCAGATCAGGGTGCAAATCCCTGCTGTCACTCACGGGCTGTGTGGCCTTGCCCAAGGTCCTTAACTCTGAGCCAGCGAATAACAGCACAGCACTTAGCACACAGTGAATGCTCACTACATACTACATTACTGTACTTTTATTATTATTATAGCCTCCGCCTCCTGGGTTCAGCGATTCTCATGCCTCAGCCTCCCAAGTAGCTGGGATTACAGGTGCACACCACCACGCCCTGCTAATTTTTGTATTTTTAGTAGAGACAGGGTTTCATGTTGGCCAGGCTGGTCTTGAACTCCTGACCTCAAGTGATCCGCCAGCTTCAGCCTCCCAAAGTGCTGGGATTACAGGTGTGAGCCACCTTGCCAGGCCTATTTTTGTTGTTATTATTAGTACCATCATTACATTCCCATTGATTAATTATGTTGAACCTCATTTTCCTGACCTGTAAAACTGAGATAATTGCACCTGTTCTCTGGGTAGGGATGTGAGGATTAAATAACAAGGAACTCAGCACATACTGAGCACCCTGTAAACAGTTTGTTTTATTTCCATTCCTTCTTACTAGCTATGTGACCTCAGTCCTTTACTTTGTTACTCTGAGTCTCAGTTTCCTCACCTGCAAAATGGGGACCAATAATAGTATCTACTTCTCAGAACTGGGGGCATTCAATGAGATGATGCTTGGCATATGGTAACTGCCAAGCACATGTCAGCTTATTCGTACTATTCCTCCTATGATTAGCCCTCCTTACTAGCTGTGTGACCTTCGACATGTTCTTTAGCCTTTCTGAGCCTCAGCTTCTGCGTGGGGTAAGATGGGGAAGAATCAGTCCCTCTCCCAGCTTTGCTGTGCAGACGAAATGGCCACACCACTGCTTAGTTCTTCTTATCAACAGTGTCTCCCAGCACTGACAAGTCCTTTCCCTACTCTGCACCTTGAGCTCCTCATCTGCCCTGCGAATCTCATGATCTGGGTTTCATCAGAGGCTGAAGGATAAGGAGAAAACATTCACACCCAGGTGCCTGACTGGGATGGCAAGGACCAAGCAGGGGCCCTAGCTGACCTCTGGGGGTGCAGGGGGCGCTCACCGAGGAGGAGGAACTTGCGCCGGTCTCCATAGAGCTTCAGCAGGCCTGTGCAATAGTCCTGGATGGGCAGCCCCAGCCGGTACTCCCGCAGCAGCAGTGCAAATTGCTGGATCTCGAGGGGCCCCAGCTTACTCCGCAACTATGTGAGGGACACCATTCAAGATCAATCCCAGGGAGCAGCCCCACCCAACCCTCTGCCTGAAAGGCCCAGAGCCTTCCCTAAGGGCATGTTTGGCCCAGCTCTCCTCTGAAAACCTTCCCATGGGCTACTCAGAGGACATCTAGATCCCTTAGGTTGTATCTAAGAATAGGATGTGGACTCAAGCTGCTGAGTGCAAATCTTGACCCCTTCGCTGAATCAGCTCTGTGATCTTGGATAGTTTGACAGCCTCCATGATGCTTGCCTTTCTCATCTGCAAAGTGAGGATAACGATGGCATTTTCCTCTTGGTGTTGTTGAAAATATTAAAAGAAATAATGCATGAAAGGTGCTTAGAATGGTGCCTGGTACACAGCAGGCACTCAATTAATGCCAGCTGACATTAGTTAAGGCCTTTCACAAGCTGGCCTCAGTTTACTCTCCTAACCTCATCTCCTGCTCTGACCTCTGAGGTCTTCTACTTAGGTTATGTCCATGGCAATGTGCAATTCCCAAAATGTTTACTCCAGCCTCCAGGACTTTGCTTGTGCCATTCCCACCGCCAGCCCCAGCTCACCGTGACCATGTAATCCTGTAACTGCTCCAAGCCCAGACCGCTGTGGTCGCTGCCGCTGCAGTGGGAGCCGTGAAAAGAAGGTGTGGACGTGCCGCTGTAACATGCTTCAAAGGTGTCCTGGGAGCCATTGCTGCAGGCACAGGAAGAAGGGCCTTCACTCGTCTCCCTCCAGCTCCTCGCCCTCGGGCAGGCTGAAGGTAGGAGGCCTCATCCTAGACTGCACGCTGGCCTCCAAGGCCTGGCACACCCTGGCCCCTGGCACCTCTCAAGCCTCATCTCTCACTGTGCTTGCCTTTGCTCTCTGTGCTCTGTGCCCCCCTGCTCCCTTTCTCCTTCTTCCTCTACTATCTCCTCACCTCTAGGTGTTTGCACCTGCTGTTCCCTCTGCCTGGATTGCCTCCTTTCCCCTCCCTTTTGCTCAGCGAACTCGTACTTATCTCATGATCTTAAATGTCATCTCCTCAGGAGAGTGTTCCCTAATTCCCCTAGGTTGGGTTAGAACCTCTGTCGAATGTGCTCCCTCAGTCCATGGCCTACCTGTGACATGCATGGCCTTTCCAGGTACCCCCAAGCATCCTCTCTGACCAGTCTCTCCCTCACACCATTTGCCACAGCCACAGTGGCCACCTGCTGCTCCTCAAACCCACTAAGCTCTATCCTGTTCAGAATTTTTTTTTTTTTTTGAGACAGATTCTTGCTCTGTCACTGAGGCTGGAGTACAGTGGTGCGATCTCGGCTCACTGCAGCCTCCACCTCCCGGGTTCAAGTGATTTTCATGCCTCAGCCTCTTGAGTAGCTGGGACTACAGGCATGTGCCACCCGGCCAATTTTTGTAGTTTTTGTAGAGACGGGGTTTCACCATGTTGTCCGGGCTGCTCTCAAATGCCTCACCTCAAGCAATCTGCCCACCTCAACTACCCAAAGTTCTGGAATTACAGGCGTGAGCCACCACACCTGGTCAGCTCAGGATTCTTACATTTGCTCTTCCCTCTACCTGGAACGCTCTTCCCCCTTTCATCCTCCAGGCCTCAATTCATGTGCCATCACCTCTGAGAGGCCCTCCTGACTCTCCAGCTGAGTTGGGGTTCCCCTCAGCCTCTCTTATAGCACCCTGAGCCTCCCTTTAGTACTTACTATCATTAATGATTGTTACTGTTAAATTGTGATTTCATTGCCTCCCATGCTAGACTGTAAACTTCACAAGAGCAGGAACCTTGGTTTTCTTCATTTGTTGAACACCTACTATGTGACAGGCCCAGGTTTTGCCCTCTGTCTTGTGTCCATCTGTATCCCCAGCACACAGCACAGTGCCTGGCATATAGAAGGTACTCAAGAAATATTGCTTAATAAAAATTCAACCTTGGGCTCCTGCCTCCTTGTCTCCAAATTGTTCCAGAACCATCCTCCATTATTAGCTACAAAGAAGCAGTGTAGCTTTGTGGTTAAGGGACTGGACTCTGGAGCCAGCCTTCTTCTGTTCAAATCCCAGACCTACAACTTACTAGGTGCTTGACCTTGGGAAAACTAAACTTAATTTCTCTATTTCTCAGTTTTTCCATCTGTAAAATGGGATAATAATAATTGGTATCATCATGAGAATTAGAGGAGTATTTGTAGAACACTTAGAATTATGGGTTACAAGCAATAAACAGTAACTGCTGTAATGTTACTATATTGATGAAAAAATAAAGTGCTTTATAGAACAGCACTTAGTACATAGCAAGCTCAATGTTCAAACGCTATTATCATTATTTTATCTCTCCAGTAGATATCTGGTTGTTTAAAGACTAGCCTAAGGGCACACAGTATGAGGAAGGCAAATCTATTGCCACTAAAAAGGAAAACACAGTAAGGGATACATCACTGGCAGAGGCTGCTACATGCCAAACCGAAGCCCTTAGTAACATGACTAGGTGATCAACCAGTAACCCAGGACTTTCTTGGTTTTAGCACTGAAAATCCTATATCCCGGGGAACCCTTCATTCCTGAGCAAACTGGGATGGCTGTTCATCCTAAACAGAACCTTGGGTAATGTTCCCAACTGAATTGTTTAACATTTTATTTATTTATTTATTTATTTGTTTGTTTGTTTGTTTAAATAGAGACAGGGTCTCCCTATGTTGCCGAGGCTGGTCTCAAACTTGTGGGCTCATGTGATCCTCCTGCCTTGGCCTCCCAAAGTGTTGGGATTACAGGTGTGAGCCACCGCAACTGGCCTGAATTTATTTATTTTATTTTATTTTATTTTATTTTTGAGATAGAGTCTTGCTCTGTCGCCCAGGCTGGAGTGCAGTGGCGCAATCTCAGCTCACTGCAAGCTCCGCCTCCTGGGTTCACGCCATTCTCCTGCCTCAGCCTCCCAAGCAGCTGGGACCACAGGTGTGGGCCACCATACCTGGCTAATTTTTGTATTTTTGGTGGAGACGGGGTTTTGCCATGTTGCCCAGGATGGTTTGGAACTCTCGGGCTCAAGCAATCCACCTGCCTCAGCCTCCCAAAGTGTTGGGATTACAGGTGTGAGCCACTGCATCTAGCCTGAAATATATATATTTTTAATCCTAAATTTTCCAGCTTTGCTTGCAGCTAGTGATGGCTACGTAACAAAGTTCTGGCCTATGACATATAAGCAGAAGTCATCAGGTGGGAATCTGGCAGAACTCTTTAAAGAGGCCCCAGCATGCTACTGTGATGGCTGGAGCTACAACCACCATCTTGGTCCATGAGGTGACCTTAAGGATGGCTGCAAGTCCTGAAGAGGGTAGGGGAGGAAAAGAGAAGCCTGAACTCCTAACAACCATGAAATGTTGAATTGCTGCTCTATTTTATGTCAAAGATAAGAAAAAAAAAAGTTCTATCTTGTTTAAGATACTCTTTTTGGGAGTTTTCTATTACATGAAACCAAAATTAAGCCAAAATGATTTTTTTGGCATGTAGCTATCTATGATTTTGGTTTCTGCAGGCCACTGTGCCTGGATGACTGGGAGAGAACCACAGGCCTGTGTGGACCCACATCTGAGTTCTGGTGTCTAGTGGGTCTCTCAGGGGCCTAGATCCTGTGAGTTTCCAGAGTCAGGGAGCTCGGTTTATCTCCCCCTGTTACTGCCCAGTGTCTCAGCAAGGTTGGGTCACCTTCTCCTACCCTCTCTAGACTAGTGACCCTGTTTGCGCAGGGGTAGGGGAGCAGGGTGGAGTCCCTGACAGGGGCTATACTCACAAGGAGCTGCAACAGCTGAAGTCGGCATCATAGGCGTACGTTCCATCTGTGCGGCAGCTCTCACCTAGGACCAGCAGACAGAGGGAGTGTGAGAGGCAGCAAAGCAGGGATCAGCATCCCCTGCTCCCTGAGGCCCCGCCCTCAGTCTCAGCCTGAAGTCTAGTCCTGCCCCTGACACCAACACACAGCAGACCCTGGGGAACTCCCCTCCCCTCTCCTGATCCTCAACTTCCCCGACATGGGGACAATACCACCCCCTGCCTACCTCACGGGGGGCCTTGGGAACAGCAGATGAGGAAACATGTGAGGGAATATTTTATAAACTGTGTGTTTCAGGCAAGACAAAAAAAAGAAAAAAGAAAAAAAAATTTGTGGCTCACGCCTGTAATCCCAGCACTTTGGGAGGCCAAAGCAGGAGGACTGCTTGAGCCCAAGAATTCAAGACCAGCCTGGACAACATAGAGAGACCCCATTTCTACAACAACAAAAAATTTAGCTGGGTGTGGTAGTGCACGCCTGTGGTCCCAGTTACTTGAGAGGCTGACATAGGATTGCTTGGGCCTGGGAGGTCAAGGCTGCAGAGAGCCATGATTGTACCACTACAGTCCAGGCTGGGTGACAGAGCAAGACCTGGAAAAGGAAGAAAGAAAGGAAGAAAGAGAAAAGAAGGAAAGAAAGGAAAGGAAAGGAGAAGAAAGAAAAGGAAATGAAAGGAAAAGAAAGAGAGAGGGAGAGAGAGAGAGAGAGAGAGAGAGAAAGAAAGAAAGAAAGAAAGAAAGAAAGAAAGAAAGAAAGAAAGAAAGAAAGAAAGAAAGAAAGAAAGAAAGAGAAAGAAAGAAAGAGCGAGCGAGAGAGAGAGGGAGAGAGGGAGGGAGGCAGGGAGAGGGCAGGGCAGGGGAGCAGGGAAGGAAGGAAGGAAGGAAGGAAGGAAAAGAAATTTGTGAAGGGGAAGAATCTGAAAACCTTCAGAGCAAAGAAACACCAAGTATGGAGAGCTTGCGCTCTTCCTAGTCCTGTTCTCATTTAGCTGGTTATTAGCCCTACCCTTTCTGATCTCTGATCACTCAGTGTCGCTTCCTTACCCTCCAGGTGGGGTCAGTTCTTCATTATGTGTTCTCCCGGCACAGTCTGTGGTTATTTATTTATTTATTTTGAGACAGAGTTCCACTCTTGTCGCCCAGGCTGGAGTGCAGTGGCGCGATCTCTGCTTATGACAACCTCCACCTCCCAGGTTCAGTTGACTCTCCTGCCTCAGCTTCCTGAGTAGCTGGGATTACAGGCACCTGCCACCATGCCCAGCTAATTTTTGTATTTTTAGTAGAGACGGGTTTTCACCATGTTGGCCAGGTTAGTCTCGAACTCCTGACTTCAGGTGATTCACCTGCCTTGGCCTCCCAAAGTGCTGGGATTACAGGCGTGAGCCACCTGCCCGGCCTGTGGTCATATATTTATTTGTGTACTTATTTAATTACTGTCAGCCTGCCTCCACTAAGTAAACTTCATGAAGACACGGCCACCTCTGGTTTTGCTCACCAGGATAATCTACGGATTAGCACTGGATCTGACCTACTAGGTGTTCAAAAAATATTTGCTAAATGAATGAATTTGTTGAAATATTTGTTGAATTATCTAATGTATTTGCCCATCATCCTTGTGAGAGTTGAACTAACCCAGCTTCCCAACAAGCACAGCTCCCACAGATGCAAGGGTCTTCGGAAGAAAAGAACCAGCACTCTGTTGCTGGTACCATGCTGCGGGAGACAGTGGCTGGGGGAATTCACCCACGGGCCTGAAGGCAGCATGGGGACTGAGGTTGTTGCTGATAGAAGCTTCAGAATCAGACAGACCTGGGTTTGAATCCTCACTCTGCCACTTACCAGCTGTGTGACCTTGAGTAATTTATTAACTAATCTGAGCCTTAATGTCCTCATCTGTAAAACTGGAATCCTGACTGGACACAGTGGCTCACACCTGTAATCCCAGAACTTTGGGAGGCTGAGGCAGGCAGATCACGAGGTCAAGAGATCAAGACCATACTGGCCAACTAACATGGTGAAACCCCGTCTCTACTAAAAATACAAAAATTAGCTGGGCATAGTGGCACACGCCTGTAATCCTGGCTACTCAGGAGGCTGTGGCAGGAGAACCGCCTGAACCTGGGAGGTGGAGGTTGCAGTGAGCCAAGATTGCGCCACTGCACTCCAGCCCGGGCAACAGAGTGAGACTCCATCTCAAAACAAACAAACAAACAAACAAACAAAAAAACTGTAATCCTAAGGCCTCACAGAGTTCTTTCATGCCTTCAAAAAAATACTTTGTGAGTATCTGATGTACCCAGTCTCAGGACAGGCAAGGTTGCTATGAGGACATGGCACATTGGTATGGTGCTTGGCACACAACTGGTGCTCAACACATGCCTCTGTTGATCTCATTCTCCTTCTAGTCCTTGAGTGTATCAAGGACCCATCTGGAAATCTTTGTTTGGCCTTAGGGTCTTAGTGGGATCAATGGCTCAGTAAACAGATGATACATGTGCTTAGGTTTCTGCAATACAGGGACACAAAAACAAAAGGGGGAGAGAAGAGTTCAACTCTAGGGGGCTTGTTCTGAATTTGGCAATCCAAACATCTTTGAAGAAGCTAAGTTTGAGATCATGATGAAAACTGATGGCTGGGTGCAGTGGCTCACGCCTATAATTCCAGTACTTTGGGAGGCTGAGGCGGGTGGATCATGAGGTCAGGGGTTTCAAGACCAACCTGGTCAAGATGGTGAAACCCTGTCTCTTAAAAAAAAAAAAAAAAAAAAAAGCCAAGCGTGGTGGCACACGCCTGTAATCCCAGCTACTCGGGAGGCTGAGGCAGAGAATTGCTTGAACCGGGGAGGTGGAGGTTGCAGTGAGCTGATATTGTATTACCATACTCCAGCCTGGGCAACAGAGAGTGACTCCGCCTCAAAAAAAAAAAAAAAAAAGAAAAGAAAAGAAAAAAAAATTGACATTTCACCTACAATTACATTTCACCTGTAATTATGGCAGAGATCAGGAACCCTAAAGACCTTCATCAACCCCAAGTCCTGGGACATCTTCCCTCTCCTGGCCTTTTTGGGATGTTTCACAGGAGGGGAGGCCAGGAGTTCTGGTACTCACTGCGGCTGCAGAGCCACGGCCGTTCGGGCGTGGATGTGTAGTGGTAGCCAGCCCGGTCCACACACTCAATACTCTGGTCCCCATAGATGATCTGGAAGACCTGACAGATGAGTGCGCAGGACTCCTCTGCAGCGTCCTGGCCCAGGGAGGAGGATAGAGAGCTCAGGTCCTCACCAACGACCAAGATGTTACCCCTGCTTCCTAAAACACAGTGTGAAGATGTGCACAAAGATACACATCTATAGAGCCCTTTAAATTGGCTTTTGAGACTTTTTCCATCAAAATTCTATGGCTACTCTCTGGATCTTAGAACCCCTTTATAGAATTCAGTGACAACTCTAACTCTTGTGCCATGAAAAATGTACCCCAGATTTCTGGAGGATTCATCAGCCTTCCTGATGCCCTTCTAAGTCCTAATTTAGTTTAATGTATAGGTATGGAAACTGAGGCCCAGTGAGGGGAAGTGATTAGTCAGGATTAGAATCCAGTTCTCCTAATAGCTAGTAGGAGAAGGGATGATTAAATGTATCAAAATTTTAGGCTCAATATAGTTACTAACACTGGAAGCCATATTTAGATATGAGCTTCCTAGCATTCAGTGTGAAAATTGAAGCAGGGTAAATAAAATTCAGTCTCTGATAGAAGGAAAGAGTTTCAGTTATTGGGTAAAACTTTTTTTGAGACTGCAAATTTGAATAGGAATTTACCTCTTTATGCCTTAAGCAAGACACATAGAAAGCCAGTAATTGATGAAGAGACTGTCTTCATGAAGTTTTTCTCTAGGTTGTGTCTCTAAAAAGGCCCAAGCTAATGGATGGTTGGATACAAAAAATAAAAATGAAAAAGTCCAAAGAATAAATTAAAATGTAACTCAGGATAGGCATTTTGGGATAGTGGGTGTGTCCTAATAATTAAACCAGGACTGATCCTTACCATAAACCTACAAAATGGACAGGGCAAAGAGGATCCTTATTTTATAATCAAAGATGCTGAGACTTAGAGTGGTTAAGTGACTTGCCTAGGCTCACACAGCAGGTTCATGGCATTAGTACCAGCACCCAAGTTTTGTTTCACTCTAACTCCTATATCCTCCTTGGAACCAGGATGACTCAGATAAGAAGCCAGATGCTCAGACAACCCTGGAAAGCAACTTTTTTTTTTTTGAGATAGAGTCACACTCCGGTCACCCAGTGGCACAATGATGGCTCACTGCAGCCTCAACTTCCTGAACTCAGGTGATCCTCCCACCTTAGCCTCCTGAGTAGCTGCGTGACAGGCACACACCATCACACCCAGATAATTTTTTGTATTTTTAGTAGAGATGGGGTTTTGCCATGTTGCCCAGGCTGGTCCGGAACTCCTGGACTCTAGTGATCTGCCTGCCTTGGCCTCCCAAAGTGCTGGGATTACACTTATTTACTCACTTCACAAATTCCAACTTAGTCCTATTGTGTGGCCGGCACTGGGCCAGCTTCAGTACCCAAAAGCCCTCACAGTCCAGTGGGATGAATAGGGCACACTGTTGGCTTTGTCTGGAATCCTATTTCCAGCCACAGAGGAAGTGGGCATGGTGGCTGGAGTACAAATGGCCTTGTAAGCAATTGTAAGGATGTTAGCTTTTACTTGGAGTGAAATGGGAAGCCACTGGAAGATGTGGAGTTAGGGACATGATGTGACTTACATGTTAATGGGACCACTTTGTGTGGGGGAAGAGACTGTCAGCGAGGGCTGAACCAGTCAGAGGGTGACCACAAGATTCAGGTGAGAGAAAACAGGGCATGAACCTGTGTGGGTACAGGGGCAGGGTGGGGAGAAGTAAATGGATTTTGATGTTTTTTTTGTTTTGTTTTGTGATGGAGTCTTGCTCTACTGCTCAGGCTGGAGTGCAGTGGTGTGATCTTGGCTCACTGCAACATCTACCTCCCAGGTTCAAGCGATTCTCATGCCTCAGCTTTCTGAGTAGCTGAGATTAAAGGCACCGGCCACTAAGCCTGGCTAATTTTTGTATTTTTAGTAGAGATGGGATTTCGCCATGTTGGCCAGGCTGGCCTTATTAACTCCTGAACTCAGGTGATCCACCCACCTTGGCCTCCCAAAGTGCTGGGATTACAGGCTTGGTCATGTTTGAAAAATAGAGCCAACAGGATTTATCGACAGAGTGGATATCGGGTGTGTGTGAGAAAGATAGAGAGCACTAGAGGCAGCCAAGGCCCACTGCAAGGTTTTGGCCTGACCAATGTAAGGACACAGCTGCTATCAATTGTGACAGGGAAATCAGGGGAGTAGCGGGTTTGGGGGAGGAGTTTGGAGCTCAGCTTTGGATGTGTTGGGTTTGAAACAGTCATTAGATCTTCAGATGCAGATCACCTAGAAATGGGTAGAGGGAAGAGGATCAAGAACATAATCTGAGGCACTCCAACTTCTGGAGAAGAGGAGGAACCAGCTAGGTAGGAGAAAAGCCTGGAGAAAGTGGAGAGCTGGAAGCCAAGTGAGGAAGTGTTTCAAGGGGAGAGAGACAGCTGTGGCGTCTGAGTTTACTGGTTATTATCTGCCTCACCATCTAGATAGGAACTATGTCTGTTTCATTCACCACTGTTTTTATACAGAGGGATCTGGTGGTCCAAGATCAGAGGAAAAGCTTAGAATGCTCAGAAATTGAAGGTGTCTGCTCGACTGTGAGCTCCCTAAGGATGGACACCAGATGTCTTTTTCACGTCTGTATCCATAGCACCTAGCCCATTGCCTCGCCCAGAGCTGGCACTCAATAAACATGTTCGGATGAATAAAAGCAAGGGTGAATGAAGAGGATGGGGGAGGAAGAGGGGAAGATGGAAGGAGAAGGAAGAATGGCAGGAAGGCTTCTGCCTTGGGTGACTGTCTTAGTTACCAAGAGTACTGGCTCTGAATTTCCTGGATTTGAACCTTAAAACCACCACATGCTTCCTGTGTGACCTTGCCACCTACGGATCTCTGTTTCCTTCTCCATAGAATGGGGATACAGTAGTTGTAATATTTGCCTCCAGAGGTTGCTGTGAGAATTAAATGAGTTGATGCAGCCCTGTGTCTGGCAGGAGCTGGCCCTCGATTCAAGCTGGTGATTAGTGTCCTCGTGAATGTTACTGTGGTGAGGCCAACACTGACAACGCTGGAGAACGAACGGACTGGAGGTTAGATCTAGTTTGTTTTGGCCATTTTGAGAGTTCGTCCCATTGAAGGAGTCAAGGGGAGATGCCCTGGAGGTGTCCAGGTCCGGAGTTTAGGAGCCATTAGGTGAGGTAGGTGCAGGGAAAAGGCAGGGGCAGACCCCAGGAACCTGGTGGGTGGGGCGGGGGCAAGGTGGGGAGAAAGCAGCGTTCCCGAGCCGGGCATTGGGAGCGGGCTGTCCTCGGGCTCACCCTGTTGGCTACAGCCAGGATGACCAGGTTGCAGTAGGCGTCGGGGCTGGGGTCCTGCGGGTCGAGCGGGTTGGGACCGGGATGGCGCCTCTCCCAGCTGCCACCGCCACTGCCCGCCTGCCTCCGCTCCCAGCTGCCGCCCGGCTTGCCTGCACCGCCGCCGCCGCCGCTTCCGTGCCGCCGCTCCCAGCTGCCGCTGAACGTCTGCCGCCGCTCCCAGCTGCCCGACGCCCGCGCCCCGACGCGCTGGCGCTCCAGGCTGCCGCCACCGCTTCCCCCGGCCCGGGCCTCCGCGGTGCCCCCACCCCACCCCATCCGCCAGTCCAGGCTGCAGATGGTGTGGCGCCGCTCCGCGGTGCCCACCCGCCGCTTCTCGGGCGCCGCGCCCGGCGGGCCGGGGTCGCGTCCTGCGCCGCCTGGGCTGGCGTCCACGCCGGCTGGCACCGGGTCCACGCCCAGACCTAGGAGAGTCCGGGGAACCGATAGCCGCGGGGATCCGGGCTCAGAGACCCCCAACCCCCCTGAGGCCGGCTGGTAGACCTGACCTCGCAGCTCTGGCGTTCCACCGCCGCCTCGCCCCCGGCTTTAAAGTAGCGCGGCGGTTCCCCGCCCATTCCGCTTCCACACTTTCGGGCCCGCCCCCGGTCTCAGTGTCCACCCCTGGCCTCTGGGTGGTGTGGCCGGGTGGCTTCCACGCTCCCCACGCCGCCCGCGCCCCTGGGCTCAGACCTGCCCTCTGAGCAGAGGGTGGTGGTCAGGCTGTCCCCTCCAGAGGGGGCCTTAACTGGAGACCCAGTCCTGGGTTTCAGGGACCGCCCCCTTGGATTCTGACTTTCCGCCTCTCCTCAGCCCCGCCCCCGGACTCAGGCCCCGCCCCCAGCCCGAGGGTCCACTCTAGCCTCAGAGCCGGCACTGTCTGCTTGCCTAGAGCCTCTTCGGCCTGCCCCTGGTCTCAGGGTAGAATGGTCAGGCCTTTTCCATCTCCTCCGTCCCCGCCGCAGGTCCCTCTCCTCTACACGCACACTTCCTGTCCCTGCCCCGCCCCCGCCCCCGCCTGCCGCACCAGTCTTGAGCACTAGCAGGTGCAGCGCATCGTCCTGCAGGTAGGAGGCGGCGGCGATCTCGTGCGTAGGAATTCGCAGGATGAGCTCTTCGTTGTCGCGCCAGGTGAGCAGCAGGCAGCGGGCAGACAGGCTCAGGATGCTGTCCTGCTCCGCCGTGGTCTTCAGCGGCAGCTCCTTCAGCTGCTGCAGGGAGGGGCAGATTTCGAGTTCCCGGGGTCCGCAGGTAGAAGAGGGAGAAGGGGACGAGATCCTGCCCTCCTTCCTCCCCAGAGTCTCACCCTGGCGGTGTCTAGCAGCTGCAGGAGCTCGTCCCGACTGGAGGGGTTCAGTGAGGAAGTCACCCAGGTAAGGTGGCCCAGGAACTGTATGGAAATCGTGGTGAGAGAGGGACACAGAGAGGTCACCCTGAAACCTTGAAGAACCCTGGCCTTCTCATTGATGCAGTGCGGATAGATTGAGATAGAAATACATGAATTAATATAACCTGATAATAACTTTTACTGAGCCCATAATAGAAGCCAGGCACAGTTCTGAGCGCTGTCTATATATTCACTCCTTCACCCTTGCTTTAAGGATGACAAAAACCAAGGCAGGGTGTGGCTAACTAAACAACTTGCCCAGGATTAGGTAGCTAGAGAGGATCAAACTGGGATCCACATGCCGGAACCCACACTCTCAACTGCTGGCTTATATTGCCTTAACACATAGTCATCTAGCTATCAGATTCCATAGGGAAGCAAAAGTTGTTATAATAGCTTGAAAGAACTGACCATCTGTAAATTTCCTCTGGCCTGAGTGGCTCTCTCTACCCCAAGCATCACTGTCAAATGAATTATGAATCACTTGCCTTCCTTATGATCTTGTTGCAGAAGTCAAATGGAAAGCAAAGAATGTTGGATCGAATTAGTATATCATTTTGTCAGGAAAAAATAAATCAATAAATTTTTCCTTTACTCTTATATCCTGTTAGCACTTAGATGTTATTCAATATAATAAACTTTTTTTTTTTTTTTTTTTTTTTTTTTGAGACGGAGTCTGGTTCTGTGGCCCAGGCTGGAGTGCAGTGGCGTGAGCTTACTGCAAGCTCCGCCTCCCGGGTTCACGCCCTTCTCCTGACTCAGCCTCCCGAGTAGCTGGGACTACAGGCGCCCGCCATCACAGCCGGCTAATTTTTCTATTTTTAGTAGAGTCAGGGTTTCACCGTGTTAGCCAGGATGATCTCGATCTCCTGACCTTGTGATCCGCCCACCTCGGCCTCCCAAAGTGCTGGAATTACAGGCATGAGCCACTGCGCCCAGCCAATAATTAACTTTTTTTTTTTTTTGAGACAGAGTTTCACTGTCACTCAGCTGGGGTGCAGTGGCAAGATATCAGTTCACTGCAAGCTGCCTCCCGGGTTCAAGCGAGTCTCCTGCCTCAGCCTCCTGAGTAGCTGGGATTACAGGCGCACACCACCATATCCAGATAATTTTTGTATTTTTAGTAGAGACAGGGTTTCACCATGTTAGCCAGGCTGGCCTCAAAACTCCTGACCTCAAGTAATCCGCCTGCCTCGGCCTCCCAAAGTGCTGGGATTACAGGTGTGAGCCACCACGCCCGGCCAACTGTTAAAAAATTATTTTTAGTTGTGTTCGTCTAGGTGAATGCACCAATCAAACCTTTTCTTTTCTTTTTATTCTGTATCAAATTTCAGTCCTCAATTTTTAAGCAGATTTATTTGTTAGCTTTTCCCTCCACATAGGTTTACCAGATAAAATATAGGATGCCAGTTAAATCTGAACTTGAAATCAACAATTTTTTTTTTTTTTTTTTTTTTTTGAGGTGGAGTCTCGCACTGTCACCTGGGCTGGAGTGCAGTGGTGCGATCTCGGCTCACTGCAACCTCTGCCTCCCAGGTTCAAGCGATTCTCCTGCCTCAGCCTCCCGAGTAGCTGGGATTACAGGTGCCCACTACCACACCCAGCTAATCTTTTGTATTTTTAGTAGAGACGGGTTTCACCATCTCTACTAAAAGATGGCCAGGCTGGTCTTGAACATCTGACCTCATGATTCACCCGCCTCGGCCTCCTAAAGTGCTGAGATTACAGGCATGAGCCACCGCACCCAACTGTTGATCAACAATAATTTTTAAGTTGTTTAGTATTTTTTGTCCCTTGCAATATTTGGGACATAATTATGCTAAGAAAGTATTCATTGCTTATCTGAAATTCAGATTTTACTAGGTGGCTTGTTGTTTGCCAGTTCGGACAACCCTACCCCCATATCAATCTTCTTAGGCTAAATGAAGACCCATCATTGCCTCTTCATGGTGTTCATGCCAGGTGCGGTGGCTCACACCTGTAATCCCAGCACTTTGGGAGGCCGGGGGGGGGGGGGGGGGCGGGCAGATCACCTGAGGTCAGGAGTTTGAGACCAGCCTGACCAACATGGCGAAACCCCAGCTCCATTAAAAATACAAAAAAATTAGCCAGGTGTGGTGGTGAGTGCCTGTAGTCACAGCTACTCGGGAGGCTGAGGCAGGAGAATCGTTTGAGCCCGGGAGGCAGAGGTTACAATGAGCCAAGATCGTGCCACTGCACTCCAGCCTGGGTGACAGAATGAGATTCTGTCTCAAAAAAAAAAAAAAAAAAAAAAAAAAGAGAAGAAGAAGTAGTACAGCTCCTAAGTGGTGGAAGTCCTTTGTGCCTGGCTGTTCATCTGGACACTGTCCGAGTAACAGCAAGGTCATCGCAGTAAAACCTCATGGGAAATGTGAAAGTTGTCAATCAGAATGGAGTCACTTGTGTTAAAAGCCCTGACAAATAGAAGGGAGGATTCTCGTGCATGAACACCTGATAACAAGATCTATGAAAAAGACTGTAAAAATTACCACTTTGCACAAAGACCATCACAACCTTACACACACACATATTCCTGCAAGGACAGCAACTGCTTGTCCAACTTGGAAATGGTGCCATCCTTGTTATTGATCCTTGCAGCCAGGGATAATTATCTCAAAACAATTATGTAATCCTCCTCACTTTTCCTTTAAAAACCTTTGCCTTCCTTTACCTTCTGTATACACAGAGTTTACTATGACACGCATATTCCCATTGCAATGCCTATTCCTGAGTAAACATCGTTTTCTTTTAGTGAGTCTCCCTTTCTGTTATGTGGGTTGACAAAAGATAGGACTTTTCCGTGCACAGAACACTCTCCCATCCACTCTACCCTGGGATAGGTTTTGAGTCCTATGTTGAGATGGGAACACTAAGGAGGCTCAGCGGATGGAGGTCACTTGCTGAGGGTAGGGGCAAGGCTGACATGAACCCAAGCCTCTTTCCCATGAGCCACAACTTCCCCTGTGTGAGACAGGGCTGCTTAGAACTCGGTGTCAAGGAGAAGTGAAGGTCTCCTCACCCCAAGGTTTTCCCACCCCTTCTCATCCTGCACGCACCTTGACCTCTTTCTCCAGGTAGTCACACAGCAGAATCTGGGGGTCGATGAGGTAGTCAGGGGGATAAAGGGGCATCGAGTGCAGGGGCCGGCGGCTCACGCTGCTCCTACAGGCTGCACGGCGCCCGGCCTTGGGGAACACCAGCCTTCGGATGGGGGATACAAAGCCCTGGGGAGGAGAGGAGGAATGAGAGTAATAACAGTGGTTGCTTTTATTGAGCACTTACCATGCTCACTTTTACTTACATTACCTAATTTAATTCTCACCAAAACTCTGCAGAAGGGGTACCTCTGTAAGTCCCATTTTACAGATGGAAAAACTAAACCCTAGAGAGAAACTAACTGATAAAGTCACCAGCTAGTAGTGGTGGAACCAATAGTTCACTGTGGGCATTCTGGATCCAACGACCTTCTTTCTAAACACCGAGGTGAGAGTGTAGCTCCTGCCAAACAGGTTTGAGGAATGAGTCTAGGCTGGGGCAAATACAGAAAAATATTAGGATTCAAGGCTGGGCATGGTGGCTCACACCAGTAATCCCA